GTCTCTAACTGCACACGGGATCTACAGCACACTCATCCTCAGTGTCTCTAACTACACACGGGATCTACAGCACACTCAGATCCTCAGGCTTGTAGGGCAAACACCTTTAACAACTTAACAATTTTGCCTACCCTAATAAACACATTTTTATTGTAAAAACATTACTATAAATATATTTTCCTTTAGAGTACATTATATATGTGATAATAAAAGCTTCAGGGTTTTAGTGAATGAACAAAATTCTCATAAATGTTAATTAATTTCCTTTTCTCTGTCTTAAAAACCCTCGAAGGATACTGTGTAGTGGTGCACACCTTTAATCCCAGCACTCGGGAGGTGGCGGCAGGTGGATCTCTGACCTGGCCTGGTCTACAGAGAGAATTCCAGGACACCCAGGACTACACAGAGAAACCCGTTCTCAAAAAACCAAAACCAAACCACCACCAACAGAAACCCCCAGGGAAATATGCAACTGAGTCTCAGAACATGCTTCCTGTTGTAGCTTTTCTGTAGGTGACAACACGCATGACTCCAAGACACACAGCTGGACCTTTCTGTCCACAGCACGTTCCCTAACTTCTCACCTACGAACACTTGTTTAAACCCACAACTACCCCAGGTTAAGAGATAAAATTATCTTGTCCTTTTGTGAGACAGGGACTCTCCATCTCTGTCTGCCTGTCTGCGCTGGCTGGTCTGGAATGCACAAGAGTGTAGGCTGGCCTTGAGTCTCCTCAGTGAGGAGCAGAGGCGCCACCACACCCAGCTTCAAGCTAAAGATATTCACTGTCCTTGGTCTATACACCCCTGCACAGTATCCCAAACTAAAATATTAACAATAATAGGGGACTTAATATAGTTAAAGAAGACATCAAAAATAAATTACCGTTTTGGTTCCTTTTTCTTTTTTTTATTTATTTAACTTTATTTTATGTGCATTGGGTGTGAAGGTGTCAGATCCCCTTCAACTGGATTTTCAGATAGTTGTGACTGCCATGTGGGTGCTGGGAATTGAACCCAGGTCCTCTGGAAGAGCAGTCAGTGCTCTTAACCACTGAGCCATCTCTCCAGCCCCTTAGTTCCTTTTTCAAAGCATATGACTGACTAATTAGAAGTGATGCTTTAGCCTAGTGTCAAACAGGCAAGAATTTCAATGTTAATATGGTGTTATTTTTAGCACAAATACTCTCAACATCCTAACAACAATTATACATAAACAGAAAATGGTTTATTTAGCCACCAATAATGAAAAACAGATTGTTGTTTAGTTTGGATCCACTCTAGGTTCCAAAAATCTACTAATTTTATATCTATTTTTCATTTAGACAAGATAGTTCTAATTGCTGCTAGGGGTTAGACAGAGAGATAGGAAAAAGACCAGAGGGAAGGCACACCCTCCACAGGCACGCCAGGGGTCTCTACAGCAGGGTCACCTTTGGGGCAGTGGGCCATGCACATGCGGTGTTACATGAAGTAAAGACAACTGGGAAAACGGGTGAGGAACCAAGGGTACATTTAGATTCTTACTGAGCATGCTCAAAGTTGTAGTACACCAAAGAGAAAGATACTTCCTTAGGGTAGAAAGTAAATATTTTATGTATTTGGCCTTTAAGTATGAAGAGTTGGTCTCTTTTAAGGGCACTCGGAGATGTACTAGTGTAGTTTTACAGAAGTCCTCCAGGGGCTACTGGCTACAGTTCTCTCTTCCACAAAGCTAACTCCTGTGGCGTTCCATGCACAGCGGCAGTGCTGGGGCACAGGGCTCTTCTCTGCCAACACCTACACGGGAGAGGACAAAGCTCTGCTCTGCTCATGACCTGCAAACCACACGCTTCATCTGTCTGGGGCTATCACCACTATTCATAAACACATGGAGGGCACAACGCTTCGGGACCAGCAGTCATAGAGAAGATGTCAGCAATTTATTAGGAATTTAGTCCAGCTGTCGAAAGCCGGCCGGTTCCAGCGCTCAGTCAGAGAAGGGAGATACCCTAGGAACACAGGTCAATGCCAGCTCCACTTTGGTTTCTTACGTGGACTTGTATTTAACTCTCTTCACAGACTTTTACAGAAGAAACCATCCTGTGTGCACATTAGTACGGACGAATAATGCTCATGACCATTGGGTGCATTCTTTCCTGTGTCAGAATAAAACATGCTCAGTAATGAAAGCCTCCAAGCGTTTGCAGACTTTTCATCCAGGCTCTGCCTTGTTAGTAGCCATGCCAAGCCGCCGTCTGGTGACACAGGGATGCAGACTCCAGGCCAGCACAAATGGCAACTGAAGATCGCACCTAACCTGGTGCTAGGCACAGGGAAGGAGGGCTGCTTTGCAAAGAGGAGCTAGTACACCCAGGGCAGTGGAGACACACACTACAACGGAAAGGTCCTCCTCCAGCAACTGCCTCACTGACTCCTGCCTCCTCATCTCTGTCCTACCCTCTGTGGTGGCTGCTGCCGAGGTGGGCTCCGGCGAGCCATGCTCAGGGGTCCTGCGCACCTCCCCCTCTCGCACACGTATGATCCCTAGGTCAGTGGAGCCGTGTTGGATCGGGGAGCCGGGAATACTCGAGTCAGCCTCGTTTGAGAAGTCAAAGCCATCTGGGATTCAACATATAACATTTTAGTACTTCTGTGCTGCTCCGTCCTCTTCTGAGCATTCTGACCCAGGCAGACAGCATGTACATAGGATATGATATCAACACAAACACTATCTCTATAGTTACATGTGTGTGCACAGCTCACACACACATAAGGCAGCAGATGAACAATGTGAGGTTCGCAAATGAATAGGGAAAAAAAACAGGGATCGTTAAAAATGATGACGTCTCATAAGCAAGACAGCCTGACTCTTCAGGAGCATGTCCACAAAATACTGCTGGGTTCGGTTCTTAGGGGGGAAAAAAAAGAAAAAGCAAATATAAAAATCCAAAAATAAGAACCAATTCTTTTGTGGATAGCGTGTATCATACAGGTAGCTGGACCAGTCATGGTTTTCTCCCACAGTGCTCATACATGTACCTTTTCCCAGTTAACAAGTTTAAAAGCAACACTGTCCCCGATTTTCATTACTAGTTTTAAAAAAAAAAGACAAAATTAACCTAGGTCTTACTCTGTTTTAACATTAATAGAACAATCTAACATCTTTCTACTTTATAAACATTTTTACATCAAAATAACTAAGCATTATCACATTGCTAGTACCATTTTTAAATGAAACTATTTTACTTTAGTACACAGAACATTAATTACTACCAAGCATTAGTGGGTTTTGTACAAACAGTGCAAAGTTTATTTGAATCCATGAGTAAGCCATGGATTTGCACTGACCTTCTCTCCTCCACCGATGACGCCGGATTGAAGCTGTTGTGATGGCAGTCCGAGAGATCCTCGGCACTGTCGGGGTGACCTCCACTTTTAGGACTTTCTGACCTTCTTGAGAAGAATCAGGAGCATCAAATGGTAACGAGTTTTTCATGGCATTGGCGACCTAAAGTGATAACATCAGTCTGTACAGATTTACAACCAACATCTACTTTACCTCTTCCACAATGCATGTTCCATTATTCTGAACATCCACAAATATACAATGTAGTATAATATAAAAGCACACATGTGTCAGAAATGTTCATTTTTAATATTATATATTCATTTTGGTTTTTTTTTTCCCTTGGTGGTTTTTCGAGACAGGTGTTTCTCTGTAGCTTTGGAGCCTGTCCTGGAACTAGCTCTTGTAGACCAGGCTGTCCTCAAACTCACAGAGATCCACCTGCCTCTGCCTCCCAATTGCTGGGATTAAAGGTATGCGCCACCACCGCCTGACTGTTATCAATATTATATATTCTTTTCAGCAGGAGTGCAGAAACGTGTTCCTGTTTTATCACAGATTAAGTTCTGTGTTATTATCACATGAAAAAGCAGGAATTCTAACTTGTTTTATATCTTAGTACAAATATTAAACATTTTTATTTGGAATACTCTTTCCTTCTGAAACTCAGCAACTTCCAGGATCCAGTGTGTTACATGACTCACATTTAAAAATGAATTTTCATTTAAAAAGCCTGCTGAAAAGAATATACAATGTGGGTCTGGGTACAAGTTGAGCTGGTTGGTCCAGGCCACTGGGATGGCCCCATTCTGTAGAGGGGCAGGCGAGCTCTCTCATGCCCATGGTGAGAGATGAGGCCATCTCTCCCAATGCAGGGGCGGCTCTCTTGCTACAGTGTCCAGTGACAGCAGGGCCATTCAGCATGCCCCACGGATCTCAACAACCATTGTTCCTCTCTGTGACCCCTTGTGGCCTCACAGGCCATGGACATCATCACAGATTTTTTTTTTTTAAACAGGGTTTCTCAGTGTAGCCCTGCTATCCTGGAACTCACTCTGTAGACCAGACTGGCCTTGAATCCAGAGATCCACCAGTCTCTGCCTCCTGGGTGTTAGAATTAAAGACAGTTACCACCACTGCCCAGCTCTATAACTTTTCTATATAAAGGAAATAGTTTAGAATCTACATGTTTGTGTGGAGAGCTGTGCGGCCATCTCCTGGGACTGCCAGTGTAAGCTACGACGCTCAGCTTGGTCTCCTCTGTCCTTAGGGATTTCAGAACATTTCTCTCAACACCACCCCTGCCCTCTGCCCCGTGACAACACTGACCACATGCTTTAAGAAGCGTCAACACATGCCAGGCGGTGGTGGCGCACGCCTGTAATCCCAGCACTCGAGAGGCAGAGGCAGGTGGACCTCTGTGAGTTCCAGGCCAGCCTCCAAAGCTACAGAGAAAGCCTGCCTTGGAAAACAAAAAAAGAAGAGTCAACACACCTCCAGAACTAGGACCCAAACAAACCTCTACTCATCATGGAAAAAATATAAAAAATGACTTACCAGGAGCGGCTGCGAAAAGAGTTCTAGCTGGGCTCTATAAATGATGTCATCAAGAACTTCCTGGCCCAGGTCCCACTGTCCATTGTACCTGTGGGATGCATTATTTAGTTCTTTCTTTCTTTCTTTTTTCAAGACAGGGTTTCTCTGTTTAGCCCTGGTTATCCTGGAGCTCTCTCTGTAGGCTGGCCTCGAACTCACAGAGATCCGCCTGCCTCTGCCTCCCGAGTGATGGGATAAAAGGTGTGCCCCATCACTGCCCAGCTATTTAGTACTTTGAGTAGATATCTCTGATCTTCAGCACTTTAAAAGAAAACAGTTCCAAGTTCTACTTCTTTAGTTATAAAACAAAACTTACACTTTAAATTTCAGTGCTGAATTATCCTATATTTACTTATAACAAAATGAAGATTTCAACTCTATGCTTCAAGTAGTTTAAGTTTCTTTAAACAAATTGGATTTTATCATGTGTTGCTATTCAGAGTAATTTCTTTAAAGTACTCATGATAATCACAATGAACTATATAGAAATAATACAGATTCCATAAAGGAAATTAAGTGGCTATGTTAAATGTACCAGATATACACTGTATTAGAAAAATAAGGTAGCAGGCGTATCACGGAACAAAAGAGTCTCTGATAAAGAAGGAAAAGAAACATAAAAGCTCCCACGTGCAGAATTCATCTTCTTCCTACTCACATGGCATAGTACACGCCAGTGAGAAGCTGCACCATGAACTCGGGATCCAGCACTATCCGACCGCAGACTTCCTTCCACTGCTTCTCATTCTGCCGAGGAAAGCCGCTCACACAAACCCTGGAAGACAGTGGTTAAGAAGGATCTCCTTATTGGCTGATCATATATTTAACTCATCACCCTTCAGCCACTGATGCCTGCTAGACGCCAGACTCATGAACTGTAGAATATGCTTCAGTTTCAATTTTTAAAGCATGCCTTTATTCATAAGGCATGTACTTCACGAAGTAACAAGTTTCCCTAAACAGCTAACAATCTCCTTCACAGACGTCCTTGTCCCTATTCTCAAACATATACATACATAGCCTTGATCCATCCAAAACTGTAGTGGAGAATTACTAGACAGCACATACATCTTAAAACAGACATAGAAAAACACTGTTGCTCATGAGACCACAGTTGTTATCTACTCGCACTGGGACTGCGGCTGCTCCTTCCACGGTGGAACCACCACGAGTAACCTCAACACAGCTAGGTCTGTTCTCCACACATCAGCAGCACCTCTGTTCCCGGGTCCTGCAGACCAAGGGCTTCTGGTGCTGTGGGACAATGGTCATTTATCCTGTCACTTGTATTATTTTTAATAAAATGCTGATTAGCCAGGAGTCAGGCAGGAAGACCAGGCAGGAAGAAGAGGTGGGGCAAGAGAACAGAAGAATTCTGGGAAGAGGAAAGCTCAGTCTCCAGTCGTGATCCAGCCACAAAGGAAGCAAGATGTGACTGCCTCACCGAAAAAGATACCAAGCCACATGGCTAACATTGACAAGAATAATGGCTATTATAAGAGTTAATAGGAAGCCTGAGCTAATAGGCCAATCAGTTTATAATTAATGTAGACCTCTGTGTGATTTCTTTGGGACTGAATGACGGCCGGGAGGGACAGAAACCTCAGTCAACATTTTGGTAGCTACTTGGCAGCATGAACTGTACTTTCCTTCTTTCGTTTTGAGACAGGGTCTCACCACGTGACCTCGGCTGTCCTGGAGCTCTCTCTCTATGTAGACCAGGCTGTCCTGGAGCTCTCTCTCTCTATGTGGTGCTGTCCTGGAGCTCTCTCTCTATGTAGTGCAGGCTGTCCTGGAGCTCTCTCTCTATGTGGTGCAGGCTGGCCTTGAACTCACAGAGATCCACCTGCCTCTGTTGCTGAGTGCTGGGATTAAAGACTGGGATTGCTGTTCCTATAACCAAGCCTGCCCTTGAATCTTCTACATGTTGTTTATATATTAGTGTGTTCTTGTTCATTACGTTTAATTTTAACATAACAGTCTGATGCTAAATAAACTCTCTGGTCCTCTTTTAAGGATCTTGGGATGCACAGGAGGTGTTGAGAGTGGCCGTGACACCACACAGACTACGCTATCACCTCTGTAGGCATTGATAACAAAGACCGTTGAAGCTACTATTAGCCAAAATATCAAAACCCCTGCTATTTGTTTCACTGAGATGCTTTCAAAAGTTCTATCTTAATATAGTCAAATTATTGGCACATGCTTCTAATACCAGCACTGAAGAGACAGAAAGAAACCAGTGTGGGCCACCCACCCAACAGATTTGAGTTCAACCTCACCTATGAAAAAGTCTACCACTAAAACAAAAACCAGACTATTAAAGGTGAAGTTTGCTCATCTACTCCCTAGTGGACAATTATTGTGGTATTTATACTTTTATGATATTACCATCAATAGTCACACACTAGAAACAATCACCTACAGCGACTAAGAAAGATGAAAAGTTCGACTATCAGTTAAAACAAGTACAAGGTTCAGAACAAAGCCTCTGAAAGTTCTCCAGGGAACACAGACTCCACACCAGAGGTAAGACCTTGTCTACCACTAACACTGTAAGTGGGACAAAATAATGCATTAAATTTTAAAATAATCTGTAAACTGAAAGTAATTTAGACTAGACTCCTGCCAATTACTCAAACTACCGAGTGTCATTATAATCAAGAACAGGAACACAGCGTTGGGAACCTGAGCCCTTCCCACAGATCCTTCATCCCTGTGAGCTTCCCTTCCCGACATTTATGTCGTCTCTCCTTGACCCACTGAGGGTGGAGCACGTGCCTTGTTTCTCGCCAGCGCAATGCAGCAAGGCAAAAGGGTTCACACTGTGTGTACGTTATGTATAAAAAGAACAAATCATGCTGGATGCTCTGGCTTTGAAGAAGCAAGCAGGGATGTCACAGGCTGCCCACGTTAAGAGGCCATGTGACATGAAAGTGAGGAAGGGTTCCAGCCGACCGCCAACTAGATAAAGAAGCTTGTAATCCTACAAATATAGAACAGAATTCCGACAAAAGGCATGGTAAAAATACAGCTCCTTCTGTCTTTCCAGAAAGGTGTGGTGGGCAGCACTCACCTCTGATTCCAGCACTCAGGAGGCAGAGGCAGGCAGATTTTGTGAGTTGGAGATTAGTCTGGTCTATATAGAGAGTTCAATCCAGGCCAGAACCACACAGTGAAACCCTTATCTTCAAAATGAAAACAAAATATAAAAAATTAAAAAGACCCCAAGCAGAGGCAAGCCATGCCTACATTCCTGCCTCACAAAAACTATGAAATAGTAAGTCTATGATGTTATGAGCTGTGAAAATTGTGGGAACTTATTTTTCTTTGTAAAAATTCTTTTGTCCAGGCAGTGGTGGTGCACACCTTTAATCCAAGCACTCAGGAGAGGCAGGTGGATTGCTGTGAGTTTGAGGGCAGCCTGGTCTACAGAGTGAGTTCCAGGACAGCCAGAGCTGCACAGAGAAACCCGTCTCAGAAAACAAAAAAAATCTCACGCGCCATGTGTCTCACAAGATGTTTGTGATCAGAAGACGGCTTCTAAAAACTCAGCTCTTTCCTCCACTGTTATCTGTGCCACTGGACTTCAGCAACAGCTTTCCTGCACCCAGCTCTGAAGTTTGAGTTCTGAAGACCGAACTCACATTCTGAGGGGTTCTCAGCAAGCTTTTTTTGTTTTTTGTTTTTTTTTTTTTTACCTATTTGAGCCATCTGGCTGAACCAAGAATTTGTTACGTAGCTAAAGAAAGGAATTGGATATCATCCCCACCTGCCGCTGAGACAGGGTCTCTGTGTATTCCTGGTTGTCCTGGATTACTCTGAGATCTAGGCTGGCCTCAGAGATCTGCCTACCTCTGCCTTCCAAGTGCTGGGATTAAAGGCGTGAGCCACCACTGCATAGCTAGGACTGTATATGACTTAACTCTTGGGGGGAGGAGAGGGGAACTCGGTTTTCTGAAGTCAAAAGTCGCTTGGAATATATAAGCTCAGAACTGAAATTCTGTGACACTGAACCAATTTGTATTACTTAAGTATTTTCTCTACAGTAGATATTTAAATTTCAGTCAAGCCCAACGTCTTAGAAACTGTGCAGTAACAAAGCCTGATCTGTAGCACACAGCACACTTTGTACCATCGCACAGACAACTGACACACTACCGATCTTTCCCACATCAGACAACAGCTGACAAAGTGTATAAAGGAACAGCCTATAATCCCAGTGGAGGCGGAGGCTGGAAAGTCAGGAGTTTAAGGTCATCTTGCACTGTATGAGGCCACGTTTTAAACAAAAATGTGTGAGAGAAAGATTGGCATTCTTAACATGATTCACATAAACCGTGCATCCAGGGAGCAATCTGGGGCACTGATAAACAATCCTAGACTTAGTGGACGTGACCCGCTCCTTGTTCAGCTAGGCAACATTCTATTGAATGTTAAAATAATCTTTTTATTTTAAAATGTGTATATGTGTGTGTAACTGTTTTGTCTGCACGTGTGTATCTGTGTGTAACTGTT